CACCTGTGTCAGCCCACCCTATAGTATGAACATAAGCTATAAGAGCATTTTGGAAAATATTTTTTAAACTGAGATGAGAAAAAAATCAATATCACTACAGATTCCAAGCAGATGCAGAAGGCTTCTGTGCATGGTAGTGATTATGTGTGTGGCCTGCACAGGCTAATTTCAGATGCCTCCAAAGCTCCGTGGACTTTCTCTCTCATAAGCTATTTGGGATTAAAACTAGGACCTCATCCATTTCAACTCTGACAATGGACACAAACACAAGGTAAGCTAATCAAGCCAAACAAGTTGAATGTTCCCCCTCACAGATGGCAGTTTTAATCTTCAATGACTACTGAATTTTACCAGACATGCTACACTTAATATTTTGACAGTTGTTTATTAAAATTACTTTCCTAGGAAGTCCTATGAAACCAACAGTCTAGTTTTTATCAGAACGGAGGTATCAGAGCGAAGTGGTATTGATAGCGTACTTGCAGCAAGCAGACAACAATAGGAAACTCTTAGCACTCCCAGAGTTGCATCAAATTTTCCATGGACCAAAACTAAAATGAAATACTCAATTACTGAGAGGTAGATAAGTAAAATAAACAACTAATTTCATGTAGTGAAGTTGGGAGGGAATCATATGGACCTCATTCTGTTGTCTCCAAACACTTTATCGAAGGGGGAAAAGGAGCTGAATAAACTTTAAACTCTCATGGAGGGATGTATTGCTTGTGTGTCCCTGGCAGATGTGGAAAGGAGATGAAATGGGCAAGGGAGAATCAAATATCCCATCGCTGCAGGTTTGCTGAGGGAAAGAGCACTGCAAAGATCTCACATCTGGCAATCATTTGTCAAGAGCTGGAAAGAGAACGGCAGGAAACTTTCTGGCTCTTGGAGAAGATGAAAAGACAAAAACCATGTGTCACACACACACACACACACACACACACTCGCACACACACACTCACACATACACTCGGCAATGGTACAATGACTACTACACTTATTCCCCACCCCTCTCCTTACCCTCACTAAATTTAATGATCTTCAGATATACTCCACTCCATGGTCAAAAACATGCAGTCACTTGACTTGTTAAAGCTGCAGTCTATGTACATTTTTTCAAATAAACCCCAGGGCTGATGTTAGAAAATCAAAATCAGTCAAGCATAGACCGCCTGGTACTTTGGGCAGGAATCCTTGTGGTTTCGTCAATAAACAGAATCTGAATGAAAGACACCACAGTAACTAGACAGTAACGTTTTGAACAGTTCTTAACCTGAAGGGGGGCTGGGGAAGGCGGGTGCACTGGCGACCATGGACAGAAGTCTACCAGTCCGTTTACATCACTCACTCTACCTGTGACACAACTGTGTTTAGCACAAGCTCATCTGTTATTTCTAACACACACTCAAAAATACCAGTGAACTTATATTTGAGGGATGTTGTGAATGAATTTGGAGAGGAAACTGTTTGTTGGTTTTTTTAAAAATTAATATACCTGTTTAAGAGGGTGGGAAGGGGAAATCTCAGATTCCATTTAATGCACACTAGTGATAACAGTATAAAAAATTTGCTAGCTTCGTTGTGAATTCATAAAAATGACCAGTTTTGCATCAGTAGGTTTAAATAAAAAGTTCTCAGGACACCCTGGACACAATTAGTTAACTTCTCCAAAATCACAGGAATTTAAATCTGCTCATGGTGATCTATAGACTTCAATGGGCAGCTTTTGGTCCACCCTTATGCTGCGTTTAACTAGCAGCAGCCGCCAAGCTCGTCCCTGTGATTCCATGAGTGAATGCTGCAGGTTGTTTAATAACCTGGCAAATTCACAGTAGCTTGTCAAATTATTACAGGAACAGTGTCATCACTAAACAAGCCTGATCACGGTTAATTACAATGCAGACTAGAGAGCAGCCACAATTGTTCATTAATTACAGGAAGCACCTCATTTAAATTTTATGGAAATTTACACTTGCACCCCGGTATGTCTGGAAAAAAAAAAGTGATCCTTCACGCATTCACAGAAGAAAGGAGTCTGTGGTTTATGAAACACCACAGTAAATTGTGTCTCATCTAGTACAGAAATATTGGTTCATTATTTACTCTAATTTTCTAAGCACTTTAGTGGTGAAAAATATCAAGTCAAACCCCACATCTTGAATTTCCCAACCAAGAAAGGAAATGTGCTGGGCCTACTGTAACAACTCAATACCTGATGAGGCACAGTTAGACTAAAAAAGTAACTTTTCTCTGATTAAAAATAAAAGTTACCAGCAATTAAGGGAGTTTAAACTAGAATAACCATGGCCTATAAAGCACTTATATAACACAATTTTTATACATCATCATCTACTAGACATCAGTTTACCTTCCCAGCTGAAGAAAGTAGTTTTATACCTACTTCAAAAGCCACTGAAGAAAATTAACAAAGTTAGGTAATGAATCAGAATCTTGATTTCCAGCTACTTTTCTAAATCAAGTCTATTAACACACACACACACACACACAAAAAAAGAACAGATGTCCTTGTAAAAGTCAAGTCAGGTTATGATCATTTCAAACCAAAGGTATATTAATGAAAGAGTGTCTTGGGATTATGAAACAATAACTTTGGTAAGCCATCTGACATTTTAGGGATAAAAGGAAAGGGTTAAAAGGAATACCTTAATCAACATCAACAAAGAAAAAAAAAGGAAGCAGGAAAGGACTCCACCAGTCATGAAAACTCATGTCAGCTAAATATAAAAGTAGACCAGATATGGGTGCTATGTGTCTAAATAAAAATACTTTTTAGGAAAAGATATGAACACACATTGCTCCTAAATTGAGGTGCCCACAGGGTTATTCTCAGAATCGAGGTGACATCGCGAATCCTCTGGTGGTTATGGTGTCTGGCCCTGAGGGAGAGCCTGAGATCTGAGTGGGAAAATAAATGACTCTGATGACCCTGGCAAGTCCTAGAGTGAATCCCATGGAGTGTAGAGTTGGACTGAAATATAAGAAATGGCTCATTCTGTAAGGGAAGGGGGGAACACCAAACACCAGAATACATTCCATGGCAAGAATGAAAGGACTGTAAGCTAAAAACTACTCCTGGACTTGTTAGCTGGTGAAGAAGATATTAGGGGTCGAGTTTGTTATGACTGACATAATATGGATATATACTAGATAGTATTACAATGTATGGAAGCCATATTAAAAAATGAAGAGGAAAAAAAGGGAAGGAAACAGTTCGAGTGAGTCCCAGTTAATTCACCAATTCACCGTAGCTGACTATCTTTTGACAGGTTCTACCTTTCCACCCAGTCTGCCAAAGTAGTGTTGCAAGAGGAGGAATCCAATAAACTGAGCACTTTCATTTCCTTGCCCAGGAGTTCAGTTGTCTTCGCAAGGCCCACGCTGAACTGTCAACTCCACAATTTGTTTCACTACCTACAACCAGAGTTTCACTTAAATGTATAAATACACATTTCCTCCCTTGGTGTGTCATCATAATGAGCTGCATTGGTCTCTTTCAGTTTTACTTCACACAGTCACATCTGCAAAACCCATTGCTCTCTGCACCATAACTCAAGGTTCAAAAACAAATGATCCAACAGCCACCCATGACAGATCATTCCAGGTGATACGTTTGAGGACCATCAATTGTCCTACCCAAAGAGGTCAAGGATCAGACTATTCTCCATGAAAAGTCTTCCATCACTTTGCATTGACGTGTCACACACAAGCTGTTAACTTTCTAAAACTGGGAAATGCACGCTCATGTCTCATATGTGTCACACCTGCTTTTCTGTTGTATCATAGCCATGCACCACCCAGGCAGTACCAGCTTGTGGCACTGAAGAGCTCAGGTGGTCTTCCTAGTCCAAGAGCAGGTGTGCAAGTGATGGTGTACCCTTCAGTACCATAAAAACCGAACCCTCCTCCAACCACCCCTTCTACCTTCACTCCCACTGTGAAGAAGTAATGTTTAAAACTATTCTCTTTTCTCATGTGGGTTACCTCAATCAGTAATATGTTTTAAAACTGAACTCACGATGCTCATCCCGTAAGCCTGAAAATTTTAGAAAATGATGCCAAATGGAGGTCCTAAAAAATACTATGAGTTGGCTTATGCTAGGGATTGGCATCCCTGTTGAAACCTCAGCCTTGCATCACTGGCACACACATTTCTTACATATTTAAAGGTACATGGAAGTGGAGACATTACTTAGGCCAAGACATCATGTTTATATTTTTAATTTGCAACATACCAGACTGCTTTGACTATCTCAAGACCAAACAAAATGAACTGAATTCCAAGTCAATTCTTTCACACACAAAAATGTACTTTGCTAATAATCTTACTATTCTACCAGAGGCCCTATCTCCCAATCCATGAAGAAGGAAGACAGCTGTTATTGAGTCCTATTTCTCTAAGACAGTGCCCAGTGGAATGGCTTCCATTCTCCTGGGCTGGGAGATCATAATGCAGGAAGCATGCCTTGCTCACCAGGTATCCCCAGTCCCTAGCGCAGTGCTTAGCACATGACTATGATGATTTAAGAAGATGGGAGCTAATATTCCCGGAGTGCCTGTTGCATGCCAGGCCCTAGGTTAACTGCTAGGTATACACTGGAACATTTAATCCTCATAATCACCTTGTGTGGTAGATCTCCATGTTACACATGAGAAAGCTAAAGCTCAGTTAAGCTGAGTGACTTGCCAAAGGTCTCACAGCAAGCAGCTTGCATCACCTGGGCAGCCAGCCTTCAGAAACCACGGTCTTATCCATGGCAGTATGTACTATTTCTTGGATTAACAAATAAATGATCTCCAGTTACAGACAACTTATCCTGAAAAGGACATTTTGCTGCATATATGCTACACTGATCCCTCTTCTACACTTGTCTCAATGGTTGTCCGTCCGTCTCCTGATGTCACAGATCCATCTGTGTGGCCTTTGGGGGCCATTGTTTCTATCACGCCACCCCCAACTGATAAAACAGTAAGACTCCAACCTGGACTTCCAGCCTCTGGTCTGGCTCCTCCAGGTTTGGGCAGAAGTCTGCACCCAGCACTCTGCCAGCACATGCCACTGGAACCTGGGGGAATATGGCGGAGTTAGATAGGCGCTGGGCGTGGTGGCTGAGAACTGCACACACACACACACACACACACACACACTTGACCCAGGCAGAAGCAGGGACATCCCAACTGCAGGTCTGAAACAGGCCATCATGGCTTCACAGGTTTTTGACACTTAGTAGGTCAAACATGTTGTAAATATCACACATCCTAGTTTACTAACTACCAAGAAGGTAAATTCCAAGAAAAAAAAGATCCACATAAAATGTATTCCCCCTTGTATCTCCAGCATGCAGCACAAGGTAGGCACTTAAATATCCGTAGATGGAAGGAGGAGAGAAGGAGAAAGGTAAAAAGGCATGGAGGAAGGAAATAAGGGAAGGGGAAATGAAGCTTGGTAATATTTATTCCTCTTTTAATTTTCTTTATGTGGGAATTAAGAAAATTGTATTCCATAATGCCTAAAGTTCCTCTGCACTCTTAAAAGATCTATCCAAATCTATTTCTTCTATTTCTGGTATAGACTAGCAAAGGCAAGTTTATTTATCAATATTTATTATTTACTTACTATCATTTATGTCTGTTCTAATAATAAAATGATAACAATAAAACAGCTATAACTTAGTTTAGTTCTTTGTTTCTAGAATTCTACATTGAAAGCCACTAAAATTCCCTTTCAAAAGTAAGTTATTCATTATAAGGAGTCAATCTCATCTTTAAATACTGCCTCCTATAACTTGCTCACTTAATTGTAGACTTTTTAAGATAAGGAAAAAAAGATATAGATTTGACTTAAACCTGTTTTTTCCTTGTAAAAATTTTATCTAATATTCAATACTTCCAAACATATACTATTTCACTAGTTATACATCTATCCATATATATAGGAATCTCAATTCATCAATGAGCTTCACCCCATCTGTGTCCTTTCCCTATCAAAGTCCTCCTTTGGTGTTTTGTTTTGTTTTTTGTTTTGTTTTGTTTTAACTTCAATTAGGATCATCTGTGCCAATCAATTTTCTTTGTTTTGAGATCACTTTTCATCCAAGTGTGCTGTCTTAGAAGGTATTTCCCTCTCTCTTTTTGACCCACAAATCAGTTCACTTCTCCAAATTTAAACAATATCAAGAAGCTTCATTTTGCAATATTACTAATTTTTACTAATGAATAGTAAATAGTGAATATTACTATTTTTTAAAAAGCATTCAGTCAACTCTTCAAACATTTCAGATTCAACTCTCCTATTCTTTTTTAAATCTCTCCTTCTTTCATCCTGCCTATGTCCATAAGGCAAAATGGACAGAATATCATCTAACTTTGAAATTAACCACTCTTTACCCAGGAATCTCTCCAGGGAAGCCCAGGAGGGAACTGCGGACTGAAAGGTCCCAGGTTCGATTCCGGTCAAGGGCATGTACCTGGGTTGCAGGCACATCCCCAGTAGGAGATGTGCAGGAGGCAGCTGATCGATGTTTCTCTCTCATCGATGTTTCTAACTCTCTATCTCTCTCCCTTCCTCTCTGTAAAAAAAAAAATCAATAAAATATATTTTTAAAAAAAAGAAATTAACCACTCTTTACCCAGGAATCTCTCCAGGGAAGCCCAAGAGGGAAAGGAAAAGGAAGTCACATTTACTGAGCACTTGCAATGAGCCAGTCACCACAGGGGCACCTTCAACCATCTTATATGGTATGAGCATCTGCATTTGACAAATGAAAAAGCCGGAGCTTAGAGTAGGTAAATAAAACGAGCTCAGAGTCACATGCCAGAGAGTTGCACTGCCCAAACTTTAAAAAATGAGGAAGAAAAACTGAGAACATATTTCAAAGTTAATGAAAAGCATGTAATAGTTGTATTTAGTGGCATTCATTCTAGGGGCATTTGTTGATGTTTCACATGAAAGAAATTACAAAGAAGACAAAGGAAATGGAGAAGGTGTTACCAGAAACCAAGGCTGACTACTTGCTCTTTGGTCTAAGCAATGAAAAAGGGAACTGATCCTTAAACTTGAGGAATGAGAAAGAAAGGGGGCATGGAGGAGAGTCGAGACACTGTGAATCTGGGTTGTGTCACACACAGAATGATGCTGATTCCACCCCTCAGATGACACACAGAGAGGCACTAATGAGTCAGGCAACAGTAATTCTCCCTAGGGTGCAACAGAAGGACTGGAAAAATCTCATCTTAGAATATCCATTTCAAAATGAAACCCCCCCCAAAAGAGCTTCCCATAAAGCCTCAATAAATGTGATTACTTAACTCATTAAAGCAGAATCCATGAGTCAGAATTAAGTGTAAACAATACTTTATTTTATATACACAGAACAAAGTCCCACTTACCTTAATATTATTTGGCCAGATCACAAATTTTCTAAGTTTCTAGTTCCTTTTCCCCCCTAACAGAATGCATTTTATAAACACTCTCAACAGGAAATGAGACAGTTAACCAAGCACAATGACACTCAATTACAACCTCAGACACTTAGAAATTCAGTTTCTGAGAGAAAACAAGAAGTTCTGTGAATAAGTTGGAAGGAAGCTGTGCCAGGCCTCTAGAATGTTTCAATAATCCAGATCACAAAAAGGATTTAGTAGGAAAGTGGGTAGCACTCTCATAGTTAGAAGCCTCGAGTTCCAGAGCAGAAAAAAAAATCTGTTAGTGTCCATATAAATGGACTCCCATATTTTAAAGACGAGGAAATTGAGGTCCAAACTAAACTGCAGTTTCAGGGATGGGTTCACCTTCCAGTAATACTCTCCCACCCCCATTGACAATTGGTGTCATTGATTATCAGAGAAAAAATTTGAAGGAAAAGGCAAGTGCAGTAACTGGTTCCTAATTCATCATTCCAAGGAAAATACAAAGGATATAAAAGTTGATAACCTAATTAGTTATAATTCAGCACACCTAGACAATTAGGCCTTTTGATTTAGAAGCTTCCTTTGTTAACCAAATAGCTATAAAGCAGTCAAAAAATGATTGACAGAAACAGCGGAAACAAATTGTGTAAATCCTTTCTAGTACTCTATTTTAAATTAAAATATTAAAATATAGTGTATACCCAACCACTGTTTTCACTGGAATATAAAACTTAAAATTGATTTGGGGAATTCCAATGTTATCCACTTTCCTTCATGCCAGCGTTCACAGTGTCTGTTCCAATGCCATATTTTTAAAACTAAGTTCTACAATGATTTTTGCGAAATGTTCGTAGTGATTTTTATCTCTGAAAAGAAGTTAGACTGAGGGAACTTTTTAAATTCTTTGTTTTAATCATTGCATATTTTGCTTTCAAAGTAAAAAAAAACACATTTAAGTTGAAAAGAAAGTACTAACCTGATCAGCTAATGTGGCTAAACATTCCGCCACAGGTTTCATTATGGGATGGTAATTGTCTAGTACTCATCTACATTTCATTCTGCTGGTGCCGTAACAGGAAATAAGAGGCCTTGTAAGGGACCCTCTAGGATCCCCAGGGTAGGCAGAAGCTGAGTGCATATCTACTCTCCTGTACATACCTCAAAGGAATCATGGTGTGTGAGAGAGCTATTTACAACTTACTTTGTGTATAATCAGCAGAAACAAAAGATATGACAACAAGCATAAAGGCCTCTCTCTCTCTCTCTCCTCTCAGGAGAATTCAGCAATGGAGGGCCAGTGGGTATTCACTTCAGTGTCAAAAGGGCTTCCAGAAAACACATTTTCTGTGGGGCAGGGAGGAAATATGGCAAGCTTCCTACACACACACACACACACACACACACACACACACACACACGTTCTTTGTTTACTGAGATCACACATAAAGACTGTGAGAGGCCAGATTTCTGAAAAGAAGTCAGGAAAAGCCCCACACTAAAAGGAAGCTACCGTTCACAATATCTGAAGCTGAATGGGGGTATAAGGTGGGTGTAAAGGGAGAGAGAATGAGGCACAGACATGGTTACCTGGAAAATGAAATCTGTTCCCAAGAAAAGGGCATATAGAAACTGAGATGCTTTTTGCACAGCCAGGGCCCATTCGAAATGTAATTTTATTTTAAAACATTAAGCATTCAGGTAGGCACTTGCCTGACAGGCACTATAAAAGTCACAGCCTAAATAAACAAACTGACTCCCATGTCAGCTCAAGTCTCTTCTGTTAAGCTGGCCACAAGCCCAGATCAGTTCTGAAGTGTACGTGTTTTGGTGGCTTCAGTCTAGCAGGGAAGACATGAGGGAAACTATCTGAGCCCAAGAAGAACTTGGAAAATAATGGATAAACAAAACTGATTTTCAAAAATAAAGGGAGAGAGAGAACCCAAAACAAGTCCTCTCGGGGGGCTGGGGGACATGGCCGGGCACAAGTTCTGCCACGGTCCAGGCCAGAGAAAAGCACCAGAAGAACTTCAGCCTCGTTTCAGAGGTAGACAATGCCAAGCAGCAGAAGGGACAATTATGCAGATAACACAGAGAATTCAGGAAGACCATTAAGAGAAATGGCTTTGACAATAAGCTAGCCAGGAGCCCGTGTGAGAAAGAGCAGAGAGAGGAATAAATTAATTACCCACCACGGTAAAGATGAGGATGCATGCTCAAGACACTGCTGCAAAATAAATGCAAACTCTGAAATGCAGGAAGGTGAGCCGTGTTGTTGGATGTGCAGTTATAGCTTATATCCTACTAATTTTTCAGGTTACGATATTACTAATGAACAACATTCCAAGCCTAAACGTTCTCAACCATGGAACCCCAGGCTAAGACTCAGAAGGACCAACTATATAAGCCCAAGGCTTAGGAATGAAAACACTGCTTCCTGGTCTCCGCTACTGGTGAGTCCAAACACTTATTTACCCATTTTCCAAAAGAAAATGGCCAGAGCTGTGTTCATTCTTACAGGCGAGACAGTGTTGTATGAATGGGGGAACACAGTAAGGATGAGAGATTTGTTATAGAAGAAGAACTAAGTAGGACAGTGGACAGGCCACTCTGGAGACATCTCGGATCAATGAGCTATAGGATCAGGATGAGAAAAGAG